ATTCTCGGTTCCCTTAATGTTACTTCTTTAGTACAAGCATCCTTTTCCAATTCTGCACACATGCATTTAGGAAATATTCAACTCATATTTATATGAAATCATTTTAAAGTGAAAATCAGAAGACTAACGGTAAACGTATTTGTTAGGAATGTTTTTTCACCAGTTGTCATTTAGTGATTACGGTTTATCAATGTTATCTTAAATAACAGATGCTCTTTGCATAGACGCTCGGGGGACACCCAGCTCCCGGTTCTTCCACATAATTTTGGTATTAATAATGCTCAGCAACTCTCCTGTATGGCTCCTTTTAGTGTTTTTCATAGTTTTCATGTGTTTCACAAGTCTCTTTTCTTGGCTGTTTAATAAGCACTGATAGCAGCATTAAACAGTGCTGACAGGCAGTTTAAAAAAGTATGAAGTGCCACGGATTGCCTGTGGATGACTAGAACTTTGCTAAAAAGGGTTAAATGTACAGCACTATGGAATTTGTTGGTGCTATATAAATAATAAAATAATTATAATAATAATAAATGTATTGACTGCATGGATCAGTAATCTGAAGACTGCACAGTGGTGGCCAGATTTGCCCCTGTCTAGGTCATCTTGTCACCCCATCCACTGCCGGCAGTCAGATAGGGTCCCGGGAAAAGTGATAATATGTCAGCTCTGTGTCCTCTGCTCTTGAGTCAGTGTGAAATGTTTCTGCTGTTAATTCAGTGAGTGATGTACTACAGATTTACCAAGCCCTGTATTTGGTGTGTACATGAATCAATATTAAACAAATATTGCTATGTTTTTAGATATCATTCCAGCCAGAGCACTATTCAGTTTACGGTTTGCTTTAATTATAGTCAGAGAACTCAGATTATGAAACGCGGAATTAACAATGGAAGATGACTGCAGCCAATGAGTCTGACCACCTTTAAAATTAACTAGAAGTAAAGTGATAAAAAAGCCAATGTTCAGCATTAACAGAGAACACACCGTTTTGGCTGCACGAATATGGACATCCATGTTCGGACTGTGAGTTCCTTCCGCATTGTCCTGCATGTGCTTTGTGTGTCTTTAAAGAGATATGATGATGGCCACAGCTGAACATGAGAACATGAGGAAGGCCACAGAACAACCTGTAGTATAAATAGGGGTGGATTTATTAAAAACTTTCCTCACTGTAAACGTGAGTGACATATCGTCACGTGTTGCATTTGGTGAAGAATATCCATCTACAATATCCCACGCAAAGTGAGCACCTGATGAAATGCACCAGAGTATAGATATTTTGAGAATCCATGTCAGATTTTTGGTGAATGTTTTCTGCAAATAAATGTAACATTTCTGGTTGATGCTGATAATTTTCAGGCAGAAGTGCACACAGAGCCATGTGCTAAACCAGAGGCTACAGGAAATTACAATCAGAATTGAAACTGACAGAAATCTGTGAGCTTGGCTCTGATAATAATAACTTGCTCCAAGCATCACAAAGCCATTTCTAATGACTTTCAGGAGTCCATGTGACAGATTTATGGCACTTACACCAAAGATAATCTGATCCGTCGCAGGATGTCTCTTGTTTCTGGTAAGCCCCAAAAGTGTCACAGCAAGGATTAACATGTTCATTGAAATTGAAGGCAACAACACCACCATATCGGTGGTCATTAGAATGACATCTAAGATGTTCCGCATCTTGAGTCACTATTTCAATACTTTAATAATCAGCCATTCTGTTTTACACAATTTATACAGTCATTATTCCAGTGCGGTTATGACAGAATGCCATGTGTTTTAATAGGTTATGTGATTAATGCAAAACATTTCTTTGTAAGAGGAAATACGGAAATGTACTAGTTTGTGGTTTGCAAATAAGTACTCTCTGTACTAATCTGGACAGTTTACTGTCTCCTGAGTGCTCAGGTTCGACATGTTGCTGACAGAGGGGCTGGGGATGACCCTGCTGTGATTGTCCATTTTTGTACCAATGACAAGTCAGTGGAAAATGGAAGGTCCTAAAGAATAAATTCAGGGAATTAGGAAGTAAACTGAAGAAAAGGACCTTCAAGGTAGTATTTTTAGAAATATTACCTGTAGCAGTGGGATCTTAAAGAGGTTAATACGTGGCTAAGTCATGGTGTAGAAACGAGGGTTTGGGCTTTTTAGAACATGGGGACAATTTTGTGTTTGGGTAAAATCTTTATAGCCGTGATGGATTGCACCTAAACGGAAGAGATTATGCAGTTGTCAGGATTACAAGTTGATCCAGCACGCAGTACTGTGTCACACCTAGGACTAAGGATAACGTATAACCGGACCTTAGAATGGCCGGACTTAATGTCTCCTAGAATAGTTAAAATACTTGCGAGGTCAGGGACACAGAATCAGACACACAGATGGGAAGTCAAAACAAAGCCAAAGTCAAATACCAGAAAATCAAGATCAGAATCGCACTCTCGGATAACCATAGGCATGAAACCACTGTAGGGCAATGAGAGAATGGAGAAATGGGTTTAAATAACTCTCTTGTGGATCTGACTTGCTGTAACCGGCCTTTGGCCCCAAAGGCAATTACCAGGTTTCCATGTGCACGATTGCTGCTCAGCACAAACCTACCTGTGGATTTAATTGGCCATGACCAGCCTTTGACCCCAAAAGTAATTGCCAGGTTTTCATGTGAATGATTGCTGCTCGGCACAACTTTTCCTGTCAGTACCGTAATGTTGCTCGGCACAACTTTTCCTGTCAGAACAGTAAATGCCATTAACCACATTTTTATGTGCGGATGAATACGTGACAGCAGTGCCAGCGGACAGGATGGCTAGAAGGTTTGGAGGATATTTTAAATTAGTGGTGGACACACAAACACAGAAATCTACAAAATGGAGATAGGGCAGAATGGAGATGGACTTTAGCTGAGCACAAGTGGGTGGAGATTTTGGGAGGGTCTAGATCAGAACAGAGGAGATATGAAATACAAGAGACTAATGATAACATCAAATGTATGCTTACTAATGCAAGGAGCCTAAATAATAAAATGGGGGAACCAGATGCAATAGCACTAAACAATATGACTTAATAGGGATAACTGAAACATGGTGCAATGAGACACATGACTAAGCAGTTAAATTAAATGGTTACACACTATTTAGGAAGGATAGAAAAAACAGGAAAGGTGGTGGGGTATGTTTGTATGTCAACCATGAGTTAAAAATAGAAAATGGTACAAAATATATGAATGTAGCGCTTTTGTATAAAAAGAAAATGATGAATCACCTTGCAAAGCTGTTAAAAGGGGATTTTCCTAACAGGCACATCAAGTGGATGTCTGTAAAAAAACAATTATACATATTATAGTACATACTATACTACTATAATATGTATAATTGTTTTTTAAAGAAATCCACTTGATGTGCCTGTTAGGAAAATCCCCTTTTAACAGCTTTGCAAGGTGATTCATCATTTTCTTTTTATACAAAAGCGCTACATTCATATATTTTGTACCATTTTCTATTTGTGACATTGTAAGGAGTCATTTGAATGTTTTAGCAGCTGTATTGAATTTATTTACTATATGGTATACTATTAATTGGATATATAAGCGCTGGTTACTTTATACCTTGTTGTACATTTAACCATGAGTTAAAGACACATTTCCAGCAAGTGGAGTGTGATGAGGAAAATGTGGAAGCTTTATGGGTAGTTATCTGCTTTGGGCAATAGAAGGGAAATCAGTTATTGGCTGGGATATTTTATAAACCACCTAACGCTAATATTGATGAGGAAGAACAGCTGTTAGACGAGATTGGGAAAGCTGCAAATCTGGGTAACACGATAATTATTGGAGATTTTAATTACCCGGACATAAGTTGGGATAAAAGGACTAGTAGATCAGCAAGGGAAAACACATTTTTGAACTTGTTAAATCACACCTTCATGTCACAACTCGTACAAGCACCAACTAGAAAGGACACTTGTCTGGACCTGGTGCTGGTTCTAAAAAACAACGTTGACCTTTTGACCAACATTCAAGTAGGTGAGCACTTGGGAAAAT